GAGAACCACTGATTTAACGAATTCCTTAGTTAGCAAGAGGGAGATATAGGAAATATTAGATGAGCCTCTGGAAGAATGCAGTAGTTAGTGGTCATAATTTTAACCTCTAACTAATTTGAGAGCTTTTTTTTTAACACTAACTTCACATAATTGTGCTGTTGGACTGGGCCTGAAGGGAAAACTCCACCTCAATAGAAAGTGTTTAAAAAGTGAAGCTGCTGGTAAAGTGGTGCTGAGCCAGTACCCACAAGACACGGCTTATTCTTGTGACCCCAGCTGAGCAAGATTCAGAATAGCTGGAATGAACGCCTATACAGTAAGCCTAAATTTTGGCCTTTTAGTAATAAGCGACTCAATAAAAGCAGTCTTAAGTGTATTTTCAATTAATGTGGGATTAGCAGGATTTGAATCAGCTTTCTTAGCCAGATCTGTGCAAACATGCAAGGATTTGACTCTCGGATTTTAATGACTCACCATATATCCATCCAATCGCTATCGACTGACACACAGAAAGAAGGAGAAGATTGTTTCCACTACACACATAATGATCAAAGAGTTGAAGGAAATACAAGCCGCCCTGCAGGAAGACAGAGAGGTTAATTGGTATAGCTAATCAAAGATAAAGACAACAAATGCATGCATGCAAATTCAGTTTTGCCTAGAAAGAAGTAAGTTAAGAGTAATGAGCACTGGTCCATTTTTACACCCTACTGAGGGTAGTGTAAAGACTTGTGGGAAAGTTAATCAGAGCTCTCACCTCGGTGACGAGGAGGAGGCCGAGAAAAAAGCAAACAGAGCAGAGGCAGAGCAGCAGCAATTCTCGACGATAAGCTCTTCGAAACACATTGGGGAACATATCCGTCACTGAGGTCATCAAACACTCCAAACTCACAAACTGCAAAAGACGCAGACAAATCAAACACATTTACTAAGAACCAAACATGTACAGTGGTGAAAAATAAACAGGATTTCTATTGGCTTAAAGCAAACCTGTGTATCTGCCCCCAACAAGATGACCATGATGAAGAAACATATAGCCCATAATTGAGGTAAAGGCATCATGGCTACCGCGCGCGGATAGGCAATAAATGCCAAGCCAGGTCCTGTTCAGAAATATTTTCAGTCATTGATGGCAACTTAAATATTTTTGGATAAAACTGCTTACTGCAGCCTTCTCCCAATTTATATTTTAGTTACAGAACTCTAAATGTTTTAAATCTGGACTCACAAATTCTTGCAACATCCTACTGTTAGGCATAATGACCTGATAGCATTCATTTATTTCATTGGAAAGAGTTTAAGGTCAGGAGGATTGTTCAGGATTAAAGGCGGGGAATTACTGTATTAGCCGTGCTTAGCTAAGAGAAGCTAATACAGGAATTTTGTCTCCAAAATTAAATTAAAGCCATTTCCATGCCAAGTAAAAACACAGGCCCAGCTTTTCCATTTAGCATTGCTTTGTTTTGCCTTGATTTTGGTTGTTTTTTTGTTTTGTTTTTTTTTTTGGGGGGGGGGCGTATTTTAAAGTGGATTAATAAAACCCACTGACAGTGTAATGACTTCATTAAATATAACAGAAGTTGTGTAATGATGCCCTACCAGAAGCTGCCACTTCTGATATTGGCAGTCCTTGTTCGTAGGACATAAATCCCAGAACAGAAAAGATTGCAAACCCTGCAACAAAACTGGATCCTCCGTTAACCAAACACAGAACAAATGTGTCTCTGTGGAGACAAAAGAAGAAAACACACAGCATTCAACAAAGAGCAAAGCAAGAAACACACTTAAAGCAAAAGCAGCTGTTTAAAATGTTGAAATATGAAAAAAAAAAAGTACCTTGCTGCCCAAGATATTAAGTAAGAAGAAAAAAGTTGTACAGGATTTGAGCATTATGTAAACTTTTTTATTTACTGTTCCATAATCAAGGGATGTCATAAACAGTCTGCATGTTATTAAGAAAGCCTGTGCCGTTTTATGAAAGTATCACTTTGGTGCTCCCTACTGGCTATTTTAAAACTAAGTGGCCAGGGATTAAATAACGTTGAAAACATCTGTTTAGTGCAGTTTTATCTTGTCATAACAATAAGATTACTAGAATTTTTGAGCATTTTTTTTTAAAATTTAAGAACATGGGCGGGGGAGCGTACTCACTTGTAACAATCATTGTTATACTTATTGTAACTGCCCAGAGCCGTCAAACTCCCCTGACAAATCCCAAAGGAGAAAAGGACTTGTGCACCCGCGTCCATCCAAACCTGATGCCAACACACAGATATTAGTTTACTCATCACTAAATGATGATATTCATTGTGTAAAATGTAGATATTTTAGTGTTTAGGCTTCCGTGGGTAGTGTGCAAGCTTGCAGCTTTTCTTGGTATTGACACATTGTTTTGATCTTATTACTTACTTGAGGGTCCACCAACCTTGTGGGGTCAGGATACAGGTAAAAAGCTAAGCCGTTTATGGCTCCTGGTAAAGTGAGTCCACGAGCTAACAGAACCACCAACATCACATAGGGAAAAGTGGCCGTAAAGTAAACTACCTGTCAACAAGAAGGAAATGCATGGTTCAAAGCAGACATCACAGGGACAGTGTAAAGTTTGATGTTCTTTGGTGTAAGAAAACATTTTTTTTTCCATCTAAACATATTTCAGACAATACATTCCTCATTTGTGCCATAGTATTGTCTCTCTTTTTTTGCTTGCAAAATGAGACATGACTGCTGTCTGCATTTAGGTGTAACTCCTCTTCCTCCAAATACATCCCTGTGCCTCCTCCCAAAGAGTTCAGATTTAGTTTGAGCTGTTCACAGAACATTAAGCAATACTGGAACCATGTGATCTTTGAAACTTAAGAGGGGGTTGCTGTTACCTTAGGTTCTTACTCATCTCTTTTAGAATTGCACATGTGCAATTCTAAAAGAGATGTGTAGATTACACTACTGCAGTAGTGTAATTTACACAGGAAGCCACTCCCAGGGAGAGTACCAACAGTCCTGAACTTTTGCCTTGTTACATCCTGATAAACTCCAGCTTGTATGTATTTCTGTATTGTCCTTCTAAGGTCCTATGAAGGTTCTTTTGATTGAAGTATATGTTCCCACCAACAAATTTATATGAGACGATTAAACTTTCAGCAACCAGACCTTGGATGTGACTCTGATAATTTTCTTTTCAGTGACCAATTAAAACAATCCTGGTATTTTCCAATACAAATGTATTCTTGCAATATTACTTCAAAAGGTACCGCAGATGTGATAGTAGATGTATAAACGGTGGTGTTTACAGAACTTATTTTCTAAATGTAGACTAATAAATCATATTTTAAAGATGTTTCTCTACCTTTCCAGTGGACTTCACTCCTTTCCAAACACAGAAGTAACAAATGATCCATGCCAGTAAGAGACACAAGGCCAAATCCCACCTCAGGCTACCAATCTCCTCAATCCCTTGAGATATACCCAGTACTCTTCTCCTGAAAAGAAACCCATATTATTTGTTAAAACGAAAGCCATTTGGGCGCAAAAGAACTTTTTTCACAACTACTATAAGTGATAACAGAGTTGACACAATGCAAATGTTACAATATTTATTTACAATAAACCAGAAAGTCAGTTATGTAGTTGCCCATCAGCCAGACACTAACCTCCCTTATTTATCTATATAGATATAAAATGCACATAATTTCAACAAATTCAGTGGATTCAAATCTCATTACCTAAAATATGTTCAAGGTATTTATTTAGAATGCAATTCTACAGATAGTCTTTTAGTTCTGATGCGTCTTCTTTTATCCACTTGTCTAATTCCAACAAAAGTGTATTTTTGTGACAGGCTGCTAGTCACAAAGTGCCTAAAGATATCATTTCAGAGTTAGGTGCTTTTTCTACACCTAAATGATTGATGACAGTGTTTAGTAGTTAGTAACACAGCAACAAAGAAGCAACAAAGAAACACTTCGAAAGACTTTCAGACTTTCACTTTCAAAACTATTGAGCACTTAAAAAAAATAAATAAATAAACTACAATAAAATCTGGCAACTTGGAAAAATATAAACAATGAGGGGTGGCTCAAGACATTTGCACAATACTGTAAAATCCCAAATACTGGAACCTTGATTTAATCAATTAATGTATCAAATGATACAGTGCAACAGTAAACACCACAGATGAAAAGGAATCAGAAATGATTATACTTTTATTATATTCAGTAAATGACATGTTACTGTCATGGAGTTAAAATGATAAGGTGTTATAATCACTGTAAATGACTCATTTTGCATTGTGTTGTTTGGTGGTTACTAGGCAACATGATGAATCATAATATGTAAAATAGATAAGAACTTTTAGCAGCCAAGTTTGGTTGCATAACGTATGACCATGTAAGAGGAGTTTGTGAACAAACTGATACATAGAGATTTGCTGCATTTTAATGTGTGAAGTCACTAGTTGGCTGTAACCAGTCATATCAGGGGCAACTTAAACTCATTCAGCACCAAGTGTTTAAGTTCAGAACTGTTGTGAGTATATGATTAGTAGTAATCTTGGCCACAAAAGTATCAGCATGCCACTGATCACATTACTGATGTCAGTATATTTATGACATACATGGTGATAAGAAGGCACCAATCATACCTTCCTAATATTGACTATATCAATAAGACCACTCCTTCCATAATCGTGACCAACAGTATCATGATTAAAATCATCCAACAGCACAAAGGTGGTATGCTGTATGTGGTACAAAGTCATATTTCAAGCAGTTACATAATTTGATATTTGGTGAGTTCGTAATTTTTATCAACACTGAGAATCGAGACTGGGCCAGATGAGCGTACAGCTGTGTACAGCCGCGTGTTATGACTAAACACGATGTGACCTAATCAGTATCTGAATAATCCAACACAAAAATGACTTGATGGTATTATCGCCAATTATCAGCATCCATCCCAAAAAGGATCTTACATCTGTACCAGATTACAAGAACACATCTAAAGACAATGAGAGCTAAAAAGATGGATGTTCCAGATTAACAATCAGGAAATTGTATTTGGACTGATTATGTAGTGTGGTTACCATGTGTATACAGATTGCTTACTCTGATAACTATTGAGAAATAATGAGCAGCTATTGGTTAACCAGTATGGAAATGCTGCTTTCCAATAACTCAAATATATGTTGTTGAAATTTAGGGACTGATGGCTTCAGTGTTTGGCAAAAGCTCCAGAGGTAAATCCATCTACCGAGGTCAGACACATGTCATTTACACTTACTCCCAGAACTCTGTTGCTGGTGTTGTTGCGTTTGCAGCTGCTGTCCAGTTGGATGACACATTTGCTTTATCAAATTCAAAACAAGACTCTGACAAAGAAAAAAGCAGAGCCATGTCAACAAAGTTTAATCTATGTTTGATAAAAGAGATATTAGAGACTACACATTTGTCAAGCACAAAATGACCTCACTGTCATGTGAGATTCCCCAAATCATCTAGATCACCATGTCAATAACTCTGAAATAAAGAATGACCACAGTGAAATCTTCCTTCGCTTTGAATAGCTACCTGTATTCCAGGAATTCCTGCAGCTAGCCCATGGAATCTCAGCACTGAAGGATGAAAAGAGATAGAAGAAAGCCCATGCCTGGATCACAATGTATGAAACAGCAGCATATGCAATCACTACCTGGGTTGCATATCCAATACCTGAGAAGATAAAGCGGAGTCAGTATATATTATAAAAAGGCAATTAAATTATACTGCAGCATATGGAGTAAATTTCAATGGCATCCAAAACATTTAATGTACTTTTGTTTGTTTTTTTAAACCTGCCCTGCAAGAGAGTTTCACAGAACTATCTGGAAAGTAGCTGTTGGAAATTATTTTGAAAATAATGGTGCTAACATCAGTCCAAAGTAAGAGGGACAGAGAGGTGGTGACAGTCTGGGAAAGCTAATTCATTACACAATGCATTGTTGTTTAAAAAATGTTTTAGAACCAACCAAGAGAAGGTTTGACTCAATGCCCACTGCATGTAAAAAAAAAAAAGAGCCCTTCATAAAACTAGGACATCTTACTATTATCACGGATTGAAGGAAATAGAAACCACCTTATGTTTCTCTTCAGCGCTGTAGCCAGGCTGACAAAAAGTCAGAGCACTGTTAAGCCAACCATTCCTTTAACGTTCACTAGTAATGACTTCATGAACTTCTTCACAAATTAAATTTTAACCGTTAGGAAAAAAACTACTCATAATCATCTCACATATGTAACGTTATCTACAGATACCTTCAGTACCATTGATGGAGTCTTTTTCTCCAATTGATCTTTCCGAGTTAACTTCAGTAATTACTTCCTCCAAACCATCAACGTGTCTTTTAGACCCCATTCCTCCTGCCATTAATGTGTGTCAATGTTTCAATCTTAAATATGATGAGCCTAAATCTATTTACCAGCTATGTACCACATCCCTTCAAGCTGGCAGTAGTCATCCTAGGTAAGGCCTATTTCCAACTTTCTTTTTATCTCAAAAATCCTTGAAAGAGTAGTTGTCAAACAGCTAACAGATCATCTGCAGAGGAATGGTTTATCTGAAGAGTTTCAGTCAGGTTTCAGAGCCCATCACAGCACAGAAACAGCCTTAGTGAAGGTTTCAAATGATCTTCTTATTGCCTCTGACAGTGGACTCATCTCAGTGCTTGTCATTGACCTCAGTGCAGCATTTGATACTGTTAACCATAACATTTTATTACAGTGATTAGAGAATGCTGTGGGTATTAAAGGCACTGCGCTGCAGTGGTTTGAATCATATCTGTCTAATAGACTCCAATTTGTTCATATAAATTGAGGCTCCATTTTGGAAAAAATATCCTATGCAGTGTTTTCTAATTAGTATGAGCTGTATGATACTGAAGGATAAACTCAGTGCGCTTAGTGATTGGAAGTATGCCCAGTTTTTTTTTTTTTTAAAGTTATCTGCTCATTACAGTACACACACTCATAACTGTCCTCGTGAGAAGCCTGTAGAAGGAAAAATGTTATTGTGTGACAGTCTTAAGGCAAAGGAGGGTCGGATTAACAAAGTTTAATAAAAAGCTCACTGGGGACTTCCCCCTTCGACCCCTTGCATGAAACCTTGTGCGATGCAAAAGCGATGCTTTTGGTCCCTTGCAAGAACAAACGCTCCAGTTCTTGACTTTTCCTTATTTTTGTTTAGTTTTATTCTGACAGTTTGGTCCTTCGAGTCAGATCCATCTACCCCACTCGCCTCGGGAACGCGACCGAGACCAAGCACAGGGGTGTCTGGGATTCCTTACAATCAAAGATCTCCCCCCCCAGTGTTGTTAAAAACACCGTTTGAGGACATAGAGGCCGGGAGCAGAGGCAACTAGAAGTGTGACAAGATCCATGAACCAGAGGAGCAACTTGAATTGGGAGCAAGCGGTCTGGGCCACTAACACGGAACCTCGAGTGGAAAATAAAGTAGGCCTATTACTAGGAGGCAGGCACTTGAGGGCTTGTGCATGTTAATAATAATAATAATAAATAACCATAAAATAAAAATAAATTGGAAAAAAAACTAGCTATTTAAAATGGTTTGTGTGTGACTGACCAGTGTCTCCAGTTGAGACAAAGGGGAAAATCTCACAGTGACAACAAAATCCACCGGACCACGGACCAGTTGCTCAGGTGAACTCCGTATTACCTGGGTTAATGGAATGAAGGTGGACAGGATGAACAAAAATGGTACAGATACATTTGTACATTTCTCAGCAAAAACACCCAGATACTGGTATAGTTTGGACATAGTACCAAGTGGCCCCAGCAGTGTGACACCACAGTTGCATGACATGACACGACGCAGAGCAGGACCTTACACAGACATCCAAAACACAATAGGCATACACTGCACCATGTCTTACAAAGACGACCCGGGCTCAGATGCAGCTTATGAGCAGAAACTTCTTCAAACCCAAAGTGCCCCTTTATTCCTCACAGCTTTATATTGGAAGGGAGCATAGTGGTGGCCTGTAAATTAGGCCCTGAAGAAAAAGGCCAGTACAGAGGATTTGAAGCTCCTAACGTGTCATTAGCGAAAAGGAAAACTGAGAGGTGGCAGGATTTAGAAGTCTTTGTAACAAGATTTGAGGAAACAAGGGATTGGGCTGAAGAAAAGAGACACCCAGGCGTACAGTACTCTCCCTCTTTGAAAGCATATGTTACCAGGTTAAACTGGAGCACAAAAATAAGAAAAGAAATACATCTAGATGACCGGGGATAGTGACAGGTATCCATGGTTTTCTTACAACAGAAGAGGAGAAACCACACAAAGACATTCCAGACACATTGTTGTCAAAGGGGTCCACGGATGTTGGACATATTAAAGGAATAGAACCAGTAAAAATACCCCCTAAATCATTTTATAGGTCTCACCAAAGAAAGTACCCAGTAAAAAAAGAAGCAGAAGATTTAAATAAGGCAGGGGTAAAAGAGTGCCCAGATTCCATGTGTAATACACCTGTTTCCTGTAAAGAAAGCATCCCTATCACAAAGATGGAGGTTAGTGCAGGACCTCCAAGCAGTAAGGCTACAATGGCCACATGATGATCAGACAAAAATGTATGGCTAGACTGAATGTTTTGGACAGCCCCACAGTCTAAAGTCTCCAATTGCTTAGGAGGGTGCCTTTTAAACTGGACAGTAATAATAGTCCATCAGTTCTGAGATGTTTTACTGCCGTTCCAAAACTCTTCAATCACTTATGATACTAATTGTCACACTCACCACTATCTGTTTCCTGCAGGTCCCTCGTGATGTAGAACCATATCCCGGAAACTACACCTGCTTCACAAGGGCTAATGGAAGCTGGAACTTGGGTTACTGACACTGATGCATGTGAAGTGCACTGGTTTTTAAACCATACTGTTGGTAAAGCAGATGTTTGGTGGCTAAAAGAAGCTAATATATTGAAATATATTAATGAAATAATGAAATATTCTCCTCTAACAAATTCACATGAATCCTCGTGGAACATGCCAGTTGTTAAAGCAATAAACTATACTTCACGGCACTCTACTGGGGACATCTCTATGAACTTCAGATTAAAGGAATGCTTCTTGCAGTCTCTTATTAGCAATTAGCAATAGTTCATTATCCCCTAGCTTCCATCACGGGTTCACTGCTTATAAGATTAAGTGACTTAAATATAAATTATATTAGAATATGTCAGTTGAAAGCAAGTGTAAGTGCAGAGAAGCTCAGCTGAAAGATCAGGTGTCATTTGTTTCCACAAACATATTCCATATACCAGAGATACAAAGAAAAATGTCCCAGGGCTTTGACTTGAATCCCATGACACACTTCCAAATTGGCAACTGCACACTTTGCTGGCGGAAAATAGCAAGCCAAATACTTATTTTGGACTATATATTATTTTGTCATATAAAACAAATTTCACTGTTTTGACTAAAAATTTATATGTTTTCTTAAAATACAGCAGCAGACATTTTTGCTTTGACATTTTGGCATCCAATGCAATTAACTTAATGCGCTTTCACACTTTTACATAACAAGAAGTTACTCTAATATGCCTTGGCTTTAGCCCTACTTATGGAAGTATTTAAATGATAGTGTAGAAATATATTTGTGTCTGCATGCATACTTATAACCCTGTGTAGATTACCGAAAATTCTGAATAAATTCAAACTTGTTTACCCAATTCTTGTTTTTTAAGGCCATCACAGATGTACAGTGGGTACGGAGAGTATTCAGGCCCACTTAAGTTCTTCACTCTTTGTTTTATTGCAGCCATGTGCTAAAATAATTTAAGTTAATTTTTTCCTCAATAATGTACACACAGAACCCCATACTGACAGAAAAACACAGAGTTGTTGACATTTTTGCAGATTTATTAAAAAAGAAAAACTGAAATATCACATGGTCCAAAGTATTCAGACCCTTTGCTGTGATACTTATTCATTTAACTCAGGTGTTTCCATTTTGTCTGATCGTCCTTGAGATGGTTCTACACCTTCATTTGATTGATTATACTGATTGAACTTAGGAAAGCCACACACCTGTCTATATAAGACCTTAAAGCTCATAATGCATATTAGAGCAAATGAGAATCATGAGGTCAAAGGAACTGCCTGAAGAGCTTAGAGACAGAATTGTGGCACAGAGCTACCTAAGGTTACAAAAAAATTCTGCTGCACTTAAGGTTCCTAAGACTATAGGGGCCTCCATAATTTTTAAACAGAAGATGTCTGTGAAGGTTCTCAGTCATCCAGGTCATCGTAGTCAAAGGAGCTTGCAAAGAAAAGCGTCTGGACTTCTTTAAGTTGCATGAAGACGTTTCACCTCTCATCCGAGAAGCTTCTTCAGTTCTAAACAGAAGATGTTTGGAATGACCAGAACCCTTCATAGGACTGGCTGTCCGGCCAAACTGAGCTACCGGGGGACAAGAGCCTTGGTGAGAGAGGTAAAAAGAACCCAAAGATCACTGTGGCTAAGTTCCAGAGATGCAGTTGGGAGATGGGAGAAAGTTGTAAAAAGTCAACCATCACTGCAGCCCTCCACCAGTCGGGGCTGTATAGCAGAGTGGCCCCGAAATGGAGTTTGCTAAAAAAAAAAAAAAAAAAGCT